GACAAACGTCAACAAATAGCGAAAACTATAATTTCTATATGTTTGCTTTGCTCGAAATCACGCGCATTTACAAGGCCCTAAAGCGTTTTGCTGACTTGCAAGGACCCATCTGTTATAAGGATGCCCAAAATACAGAGATAAATCACATAGTTTATTAGACATAATCCGTGTAAAGTTTGCTTATCATTTTCGCATAAATTATGACCTAAATTTGGAAACCGCTGAATTTCTCGAATTGGGTCTTTGTGATTTTGGTGAAACTCTGTTCAGCGCAAGGCACTAATGCGCACTATGTGTAGCCGAGAGATTTTCACGAAAAAATGCCGGCAACAGCAGATTTTCGACTCAGACCTCAAAGGGGCGTGGCATTATAACCACGTGACATTTACTCTGATCGCCAAAGATTTTATGTTATATTGTAGATTGATCTATATGTTATCCATTCTATGTGTTAGACTTACGATAAAAGTAAAGGTGGGGATACCAGAGAGCTTCAAAGTAGGATGGTACCCCCTAAAGAAAACTGGGTCGAGTCACCTTAAGTATGGCTCGATCGTTTGCCGGCGGAAGTTCCATGGAAAACGCATTAAATTTGAGACTTTTCACAAAATCATGTGTTCATCCTCAATGTCGTAGTGGCTATGTGAGGTCGGGTCACCGGCTTCAAATTCTGCTAACAACCTTCTTTTTCCCTTCCTCCTTTTTTTTCTTTTTTGTTTTGTTTTGTTTGCTTATTTGTTTTGCTGTTTTTTCTTGTTTTTTTGTTTTAAAATATATACCTAAATAACTGTTAATAAAGTGCAATAAACAGCAAGAAAATTATTGTGTTTCCAGAACAAGGATAGTATATTTATAATCTGAATTTCTATCATTTCCTAAAGTTTACTGTGGGAAAACCAGAGGTGATAACTAATTGATTATTTTCTAAACAACGTACCCACGAGTTGACGATAGTCTTTCTTTGATTTGTTGTTGGAATGATTTACTCCCTTTTTTATCGCCATAATTCTTCCCGTACAGTATTTTGGGTCAGCAGCTTTCATTTCAGCGTAAACATCGTGGAGTTGTACCAATAGGCCACTTGCACTAAGAGGTCACGTGACCATTGCTTCCTTTAAACAACGAGTTGGAATCTTGCTGATGCCAAAAATTTACAGAGCACATAAAAATTATCTTACACCCGCAATTTGAAAAGAAATGCATTTAAGGGAGATATTTTATGGGACTTTGATTTTTCAGCAAAGTAGTATGATTTTTATTGGCCGCCATGTTGGAGGGTATACTCGTGCCCTCCAACATGGCGGCCAAAACTACTTTTTGCTTTTACCTTGTTAAACGTTAGATAGTTACGCTCAGATGTGCTGTAAACGTTACCACTTCATCTTTTCAACATTTCCCTTGAAGTTTAAGTGCAAAATTTGTGTTCAGAAAGAGGTAATTCATAATTTTAAAAATCACATTTTGGTCACGTGACCAGCTACGAATTTACTCATTTTCCGAAAATGGTGCAGGTTTGAAAAACCAAATCACTATTATGTTGTTTAAAATATGACCCACTAATCGTTTTTCGAGGGCAAAATCATATAACTTTCATTTTCACGAAAACGATGTCACATGACCTCTTAGTGCAAATGGCCTATTGACGGTCCCTGGTCACGTATGTCGAAAACTTCGCATCTAAAGTTGAAGTGTGAAGTCTCTCGGACGGAAAAAAAGGTTCAAGAGTGCGATTATGTTTTCGGGTCGTCGACGACGTTGCAGAGAAGAAAGGAATGGATTTGTGAAAGCAGATGTCGTCAAGTAAGTGTTCATTTACGTGTTTTTGCGGGATTTTTTTTACCCTTAAACCCTTCCACGACTACAGTTTATGCTTGGTCTGCATTTTACCCCAGCCTGCGTTTTACTCTTAGTCTGCAGTCTGCATTTTACACAGCCTGCATTTTACCCCTGGTCCGCAGTCTGCAGTCTGCAGTCCGCAGTCTGCGTTTTACACTGACCGTTTGTAGAAAATAAAGGACAATCAGGTTCTTTGTCGGTAGTCAGTAAAACCAAAGGCAAATGTCAGATGTCATTTAAATTTAAAGTGATTTGTCGGCCCGTCAGTTAAAATTTTAACCATTTGTCAGGTGTCAGTTGACCCCATCCAGACCCTCTTTTTCGCTTTGTGAGGTCATTGTCTTGTGATGAAATTTTTGTTCTTCGACTTATTTTTTCTTTTTCTTTTTTTAAATCGCTTTTGCAATACTATAATATCGACTTTTCCCCCACGCCCTAGATTTTGATCCAACAGAACATAGTTTATAACAAATAAGAAACCTCCGATATATCCTTTATTTGACTATGGAACAAATTTTCTTTAAGCTGCATAAATAAAGAAAACAGATTGAAAGAAGACGCTATGGAGCGTACACTTAGGCGTCGTGGTTGTGGAACTGATTAATTGTATACGCGGAGGAATAGTAAGAAATGAAATATGGTAAGAGTAAGGTGTTAATTTGTGAAATTTTATAGGATTTGTCTGGATATTCGGAAAAGAGCAACATCCAAGAGGCCTACTTGCCAAAAACTAGCATTTCGCGACAAATTGTCTCTGAGATATTAGCCCAGTAACCTGAGATCAGGCTCTATTTTCGTTTCGCTTTGAAAATTACATTCCGGCGGGTTAGACGAAACGAAAAGAGAGCCTGATACAAACCTTTAACGAAATGTCTGCCGCCCACTTTTTTGATTGATTGACAT